AATATTTAAATAGACTAGGCGAATGTGATAGACTTGGAGCAGCTACTATCATGAAACCCGTACAGAATCTAAATAAGTTTGATCTTCTCATCTTTACGGGACAATGCACGCTGGTTAATTGTACTGTTGGATAGTTTTAGTGTTAAAAGCAGCTCTATACCATCATCACGTGGAGACGAATTACCATTACAAATCTCTGCCTCGTACATTACAAAGTGTCGTAATGTATTCGACCGAGTTTTGTAAACGCATCTTGGAGGTTCCATCTGCCGCGCTAGCTTCTCACGAATCAATGTAAAATAATTAACTAGATTGCTGTTCAGCAATTAACGCAACAGTGGGGTCTATTAATTTAAATAGATCGCCGGAGTGATAGCGATTGTTTACATGATCATTGTCGGATGTCCGGTTGTATAATTTTGTTGCAAGCAGAATAACTTTTTCAGAATTGCTTCGCACGACTCGAGCTTCCTTGAGAAATATTGAAAATAATTTATTCACGTGTACGGAGAAAGAAATTCTTTGTTACAGAAAAAGATATGCAAAGAAAGAGATTTTGCACACAGCCATCACACGAGTATAATAAAAATCGAGAAAGAGAGTAAAAATTGAAAAAATATATATACACCGGTGAAAAAGATTAAAGCATAGAAAAATTGTGAATAAAAATTGACCAACTTTGACTGACGATAACTCCGCGAAAAGTCGTCGTAGGATAATGACTTTGTTTCTAAATTAAAGTTTGAGACCTCTACTTTCAGATAATGGTTCTGAATTTTAAGTTCGAAGTACCTTCGCCACTGTAACCCTTAAAATGTGAGGCCATGTTTATCATATTGAAAATTGCCAAGTTGGTCGAAATGCACGAACTTTGCAACAATTTTGTCGGAGATGCCATTCACATTGAAGTTTTGACGCTCCCCTTTAATTTAAAAAGAAAAGAAACTCGATTGCGATTTTTTTCGCAAAGTTGCAGCATTTTCAAGTAACCCTTGCATTTCTGTCCACGTATCACCCTCCATTTCCGTATTACGAGACATTTTTGTGACACCCTGAATAATACAAAAGTGCGGATTATTGCGTTAATTGACCAGAAAACAATTTTTTACTTCGGTAGAATCTACATACGGCTACGATTGCGTGGATTTTCGAGGAGATAGAAAATTCGATTTCGGTCCGTTGGTATGGATCTGGAGCACTGTGTGGCGGAAAGTGACGCGAACACCGGGGCCCGGAGCGATTCCGCTCGCCAGATGCGCCCGTGGCCCCTGGGCCCGGGCCCCGGTGCGTTTTTCTACCTGGAGGGCGTCCAATTGGGCGCAACACATGGCGCCGCTCGGCGTGCCGCCGATTCGTCTCGACTCGTATCCACGGTGAAAACAAGTCTTGCCGCGTTACCGACACAATGGGGTTCTGTACACCGAGCCGACGTGCATTTAATTGAGTCGACGTCCGCCGCGAAAAAATCCGCTCTGGACGGGGGACACGCTGCCATTTCCGAGAAAATTGGCCGGGATGAGAATGTACTCTTCCCATCACCGTACAGAGATATCGTATACCTTATTTATTAAATCATCCTCCTTATAACGATCTAAATTCTGTGCAATCGTGACAAGCAACGGTAAACAAAATGTGAAATAGTAGACGAAGTTTCCAGGAAGAATAAATAATGAGGAAAAGATTAAATAGTTGAAGGAAGATTAAATGATTGAAGGACGATAAAATAATTGTAGCAAGATGAAATAATAGATAATGGAAGGAAAATTAAATAGTTCTGAAAGAAGGTTAAATAATTAAAGGAAGATGAAATAATTGAAGGATGATGAAATAATTGAAGGATGATGAAATAATTGAAGGAAGATTAGATAGTTGAAGGAAGATAAAATAATTGTAGCAAGATGAAATTATAAATAATGGAAGGAAGATTAAATAGTTGAAAAAAGGTTAAATAATTAAAGGAAGATGAAATAATTGAAGGAAGATTAGATAGTTGAAGGAAGATAAAATAATTGTAGCAAGATTAAATAATAAATAATGGAAGCAAGATTAAATAGTTGGAGGAAGATAAAATAATTATAGCAAGATGAAATAATAGATAATGGAAGGAAAATTAAATAGTTGAAGGAAGCTAAAATAATGGGAGGAAGATTAAATAGATGAAAGAAGGTTAAATAATTGTAGGAAGATGAAATAGTTGAAGGAAGATTAGATAGTTGAAGGATGATAAAATAATTGTAGGAAGATAAAATAATTATAGCAAGATTGTCGCAATCGTAGAGAGAAAAAGATTTGTATCTAGCACCCATTTCTCGCAGACAATTTTTGCATAGTGACCCGCAGTCTATTAAGAGGAACGTCCATCTGGCTGTTTTTCATCAACGTGTCCAAAGTAGTTGTATATTTTGTACCGATCGATTCACAACGGGGCGTGATTCTCGAAAAAACCATGCCCCTCCTGCTTGGGCCCCATTGTCCCGACCGCTGGCAGAGGCTACACGCTTTTCATCGTTAACAAGCATGCTAAACAACGTTCGCCTGCTGCCGATGGCTCCTGGGAGCACGTTCGAATTTGTCTACCGTAACGACAACCGGAAAAGCCTGCCATTGCTAAGCCTGCCATCACTAAAAAGTTGTCACATTCGAAAAAGATTCGAAGAATTTTCCTACTATTCGAATATTATTCGAACAACATTATTTATAGGAAGCGGTAACAATGTAGCAGTCATGCAAGGACGGATAAAACATAAAAAATGTTGAAACTGGAAAGAAAAAAAGCTTGAATGAAAGAAGTAGCTCGCAAAGAAAAGAAAACAAAATATACATAAAATATAACTGGATCATGTGATTGAAGACGACTGCGTAATAATTGCAGTCTGGTAAAACAAACATTTTGTGAGTAATTCTATAAAACACAAGAATTCAATAACAATCTACTGTTTCGTTTAATAGTTTCAATCAAGCAAAACTAATGCAACAATAACCTTAAATTCTCTCAACATCTCGCAGTCTAGTTGTAAGATGAAGTAAGTCGCCAATGCATCGGTGAATTGGAATTCGTTAAAAATCGTCGACAGTTTATTCGAACGGCCTTCGACGGGAATTTCAATGCGCCTGGTCGACGGATTTGACGCGATCTGGACGATCGCTCGCGATCTACGTGAAAAGACACCAACGAACGCACACAGGGGAGCGATGCAGAGCGTGATTGTGAAATCGGCAGCATTAGCAGGCTCGCATTTACCGCGATTCCAGCGGGGATCGTCGAGTTAACGACAACCAGGCGGACGACAAAAAGCGTGCTCGGCGTTATTACCTCGAAATGAGGCATCCCGATGATATACCTACGGTCGAAGCGTGGGGACGGCTGTTTGTGCGCGTGTTCGCACTCTCCGGGCACCCCTTCGATGCGAGTCGCGGCGATCGCGTGGCTCCGTGTGTCACTTTGCGCCGTATGAATAATTAATGGGCCCCGTTTACGTTTCATTTTCCCGGTTGGTTTTCATTTTTCTCTTTGGCCGCGACTCCCGCGGCCGGCCGACTCGTTTCCGGAAAGGGGAGAGAGAAAAAAAGAGAGGCTGATAGGAGACTCGTCACGGCTCATTGCCGCCGCGTGATTGTCACGATTGCGTTCTTTATCCGTCGCGCGTAATTGCACGTCCAGTTTCTCTTTGCGCTCGGCGACGGATCACGCCGGCCGAAAGGATCGAATGAAACGCTGTGACAGAAAAATGCCTCGATCAGTTACCACGCCGGTCGAATTTGAAGCGAACAGAATTTCCTAATGATTTCGGTCGAATTGCAGCGTGCAACGGCGGAGGAAACCGAAGAAGTTAAATTGGCACCGACAAATGGCGCACCGGATGTTCCGTTTCGAATCGATGCCACGTTCCTGCGTCATCTCTTGAACGACTATGTTGAAACGATTACGTCGTCAGGCAGGCCGAGCATGGTTGCGCTAATTACCTCGCGCACCAGCCGACGAGTTCGATTCAGCCGTGCACGGTACAATGTTTACAGTTACGCGCGTAATTAAGTGCATATAATTATGGAAATCTGGTGCGCGCGCTCCGAGACTAGGCGAGGGGAGAACAAATTGTCCTAGGCGCGACCAAGTGCTCGCCGATTCCGTTACTCTCTCGTTAACGACGGCACGGCGACGCTGGCGATGAAATTATTAATCGACTGTCTCGCGACGAGATCTTATTAAACGCTTGTAATCATCAGCGATCGGTTTCGGTTTCCTGGGCAGCTTCTCGAGGCTTTAACTTACAGATGCTGCGCTGGAGATTAGATTTTTTTTTTGTTAACTCTTCGAGGCGTGCGATTTGAAAGAAGATAAAAACTCAGGTTGCACAAAATGCAGTACATTCTCTCTAATCGACGTTCAGATTGTACACGAAAATGGACAATTCGGGGAGAGGAGATACGATTATTCGAGCCTTGCGGCTCGTTTTTATGTATTATAGATTATACTTTATATTTATAAATTATAATTATAATTAAATTATTAATTATAAAATAGTTTTTATATATAAAATTTTATAAAAACGAGTCGCAAGGCTCGAACAATCGTATCTCCTCTTCTCAAATTTTCCACTTTTGTGCACAATCTGAGCGTCAATTAGGGAGATATACCGTTATGAAAGACTAAAATTCACTGAACCACACAATTCGCCAATCTTAATCACATTTTATGCGGGTCACAGGTCGAGCTTTACTCACGCACTTAGCGGTGAAAAATCAGGTTGAAAAATCTACTTTTTAAAGAAACATTTAATATTTTCGAAACTAACAATAAGATTTTGATAACAAGCATGTAACGAGGATTTTTAGGATCTCAAAGGTCCATTCTTTCAAATATATAACAAAATTGAGAAAAAGTTAAATATTTAAAAATTCCTCAAATAACGTGTTAATTGCAAAATGTGCCAAAAAGTGTCAAAAACTTACAAATGCGTCTTGACTTGCGCAAATGTTTGTTTTCGCTTATTCACGCATTCGCCGTTAATTCATAGCGTTACCAAGTAATTAAAATATTAAACTGTACAACTGTGAGCAACTTCAACTTTTCCAAGTAGGTTCAAATATATCCCGCCGTGCATGAAAAGCTAAGAAAAAGGTGGGACCGTTTTTAAGCCAGCTTTTAACCCCAAAGAGTTAAGCGATGCACGCGCATTCGACAGCGCATTCGAAGTTGCAGCGTCGATGCATTTATTCGAGGTCACCGGTACTACAAATTCGACTCGGATCGGCCTGTGGGGCAGCGTTGAAATAGAGAGCAGAATGAGTAACAGGTGAGAGTAACAAGTGTCTCATGGTGAAAGGCGAAAGGCGGACGCAGTGCGGTACGCTCAAGCTGACTCTTTATTCCAGGCTCAGACTGACAATCTGTTTCTTTCAATATACGTCGACGAAGCCGCATTTTTTCGTCGTCGTTCTCGAAGGCCGCGGGTCAAGGGTCGTTCTCCAAGTAGAATCGTCTGCGTTCGAATACGAATTCGACAGACTCCGGAACGTACGCTTGCGAACTGTTCTCGTGACAGCACTTTGGGGACAGCGCATTGTGCAAGATAAATGTACCTAATTTTGGAACATCCTTCAGGGAGTATAAAATTTTCATCGATTTGATTATGAACTGGAAATTGTTATTGTTGTATGTTTATACCACTGTTCGATAGATAAACGTTTCTGGAAAACGTAACGAACTTTGAAATATTTATTTAAAATGCGTAGAAAATGAAAATTAATAAAGTAGTTAAGTATGAGCGTGTACCTGTTATGGAACACCGTTTCCTTGCCACGTCTCGTCATAAATCGACACGATGAAAAAATTGAAACAACCACACAATATAGAACAGTATGTTCTTGCTTAGAAACGCTCGCATTCGAATGAGCATGCTGATTGTTACATAACGGTATTTATGTGAGTGAATTTCTAAAGAATAATGTTCAAAAATATGGATAGAATGACTACTGTTTCAAGAAAGGGTCAGGAATAATACGATAAAAAATAAATCGCACGAAAGCGGGTGTAAAAATTCGCCTCATATTTTTTAACACTGTTCTTCATAAATTCTCTTTCTTTTAATTTCTTCTTTTGTAAGAGAGGATTTTTTTACTCGCGTATATACGAATAAAGTAAATGATTAAAATGATATTATTGCAATTGAGCGATGTCTCGAAATAGGCGCTCCTGCGTTAGCATGCTATAAAGCTCGTTTGAAATATTCGAAATCCTTCGAATCGCTGGAACTTTAAATCATCTGTAAATCGCATTCACCCTTGGTAAGACGATAGCACTGATTCCGCGGCGCGGATCCTAGCGCCGATATTATCAGCTCGGAGGCCACCGGTCGGCCATAAATCATACAGCCGCGCCGAGCGTCAAGGAAACGGAAACAAATAAATCAGCCGGCGCGGCGTTTGTCCCTGGGACCGCGAATTAGCGCGGCTCGGTCGTCAATTCCGCGATGGTTTATCCACGCCGCGCCAAAACGGGCCGCGAGTGGCGACACGCGGAGGAAGCTAGCCGCGCTTGTTGCGCCGAAACTGTCCGAGGATCTGTTGCACCGTGTTGCCGGCTTCGGCCTCGGCCTCTCATCTGCATACCGTTTCCTCTCTCTAACGACCGTTCATCTTCCGCGGTAGGACGTACGCACCTGTATCGAGATAACGCGGCGTAACGTATACCCGCGGCGAATAAGGGCATTGAATCGACGCCGATCCCTCGGGGCCGGCTTTCCTCGGCCTCCGCGGGCCCAAGGGCCCGGCGAGATCCGCTCCGCGGCGATCCGGCGATCCGCGCGCCGCCGCGGATAACTCGCGTCGATCGGTCTATAAATCGAGAGCCGGGAAATCGCGCGCACCTGCGCTCCGGAACCGCCGAATCGGTCTCTCCGCTCCGCAGATCCTGTCCACCAGGTCTCCCCTTTCATCCTACACCGTTGCTCTTTGATCCTTGCATCACTGGATCACACGCCGGTCCCGTCGAACTTTTGCTTCATCGAAATTTGGGTGACGGTTTTCTTGGAAATGGAACGCACTTTAACGCGATGAATTCTCAGGTAGAAAGATACTAACGTCTCGTCGCGCATGTAAAATTATGTGACATTCATGTAACAATTTGGGAAGAGGAGACATGATTATTCGAGCCTTGCGGCTCGTTTTGATAGTTGCCGGTTGTCAACTATTGGATTATTTCTCTCTTTTCATTATTCAGAAGTTTTTCCTTCTAGCATATAAGTTACAAAAACGAATCGACGCCGAGAGTCTCGCCAGAGTACCATTAGATAAACAATGATTTCATATGTATATAGAACAGAGTGCTCTTTGTCTTTAGGTGACGTTTTTGGTTTCGTCTTTGTGAATAGTCTTCAGTCTTCTGGAGCAATCAGGAGAGTAAAGACGGTCCTTCCTCGTACATCAAATTAATAAACTAAAAGGGATAAGTTTAATTCACTGCGTTTTACTTTTATTTAACTACCCATTTCCAATATCAACAGTTATAAAATCAAGGCGCAAAGGCACGAATAATCGTATCTGTTCTTTCCAAATAATCCATTTTTGTGCACGATCCGTGCGTCAATTAGGGAGAATTTATTGTATCCGAGCCTGCGTATTCTTATTGCTTCAAATCTGTTGGAAACAGATCAGGATGATTTCATGCGATTTCACGCGAATTGATAACACTGATCCGTTTCTGACAGATTCGTAATAATGAGACTGCGGATCTTTATGCCAAATCAAAATTGTTTGTCTCAATTGCAAGATGTAGGGGTCGTGCAACTTTGTTTCTCTCTTAAATAATTTTTAATATTCTTAATTTTTTCACCGTTCCACGTTTCATCTATACATTTTTCTTATAAATGCATAAAATCCGCAGTCTAGTATTAATATTAAATTGGTGCATATGAAATGTCGGATTTTCATTATGCTTTTGTTTTTGGCATAACCTCGTTTATAGTCGTATTGTCCATTGCCAGATTCACATTTCAACAAAGAAGATTTTCTCAAAAGTGTTCCATGTTGTTATTTGTTTTGAATTTCGTAAGGATATGAATTCAACAGATATTCGCGCGCGCGTGTGTGTGTAATTTTTTTGTGTGAGTATAAATTCGGTAATAATGCTGCAAAAACTACACGCAATATAAACCAGGCGTTTGGGGAGAATATTCTTAACGATCGAAAACTGCAGCGTTGATTCGAAAATTTTTCTCTGACTGGAGTAATTCACTACTCAAAAGTACTGTCAGTACATCGATGAAATGCATGAAAAATTGAAAATAATACACCTATCACTTGTTAATCAGCGTAGTCCAATACTTTTTCACGACAACGCTCGGTCGCATACGTCGTACAAAACAAATGCGAAATTAAATGAATTAAAATATGAAATTTTGCAGCATCCAGCTTATTCGTCGGATCTTTCGCCAACCGACTTTCATCTTTTTTAAACATTTAGAACAGTTTTTACGGGCTAAACAGTATGAACATGAAGACAGTCTGAAAAATTTGATATCAGAGTTTATTGATTCTAAAGATCAGAATTTCTTTAAGACAGGCGTCTATGCATTACAATCTCGTTGGAAAAAGTGTATTGACGCAAATGGAGCATATTTTGATTAAGTAAACAGCTATTCGCTTAAAAATCCGACATTTCATACGCGCCAATCTAATAATAATAATCTCGTAACGTGACGATAGCGTTTCCACCTCTGTTGTTTCTTGCAGCAGGAACAATAATAATAATGTGGACGGTTGAAAAAATGGTAGGCGTGGTGAAAAAAAAGAGGAGACACGTTTCGTCCCGGGTCCGCTAGAGGACTCATCAGTAAGGCTTTCCTAGCGGGCCCTGCCTTAGACGCGAAGGTATGCGTAAGGACAGTTGGGAGAGATTTAGTCGCAGGTAGTTTAGATCGACGCCCAGACTTTAGGAGAACAACGGTGGGGAGAAACAGATGGCAACAGTTCCTTCAGAACCGTAAACGCGTCGCCAAAGCGCGCGTATCGAAATACGGCCACGATTTTTATCCCTTGTGTGATGTCCGCTGATCCACTGTAGTACTGACGATGATGGCCATCACACTTAGGAATATTACAATTTATTTGTATTGTAATCTTTAACAAGCTGTAGCCTCCGGCCTTCAGTCTGCAGTTGCACCCATTTCTCCTTGCGTTGCTCCGTGTTGTTGTTGTGTTTCGCTGGCTTCCATATAGTCGTACACATTCGTCGTCGGCGACATTTGATTTCGACGACGTTGTGGATAGCGGAAGATTGGAAAGAGAGGAAAGAAAAGAGCGCGCGTTTCGTCCCGGGTCCGCTAGAGGACTCGTCGGTAAGGCTTTCTAGCGGACCCTGCCTTAGACGCGGGGGTATTGGAGGGACAGTTGCGGACCGTATATATACAAATCGCAGCGGCTCAAGCAGCTGCGGGAGAGGTAGCCATCTACTGGCGAGCGTGGAAGTAGCCGCCACAATAATAACGATAATAATAATAATAGTAAGTTTATATATCGATGGGATAAGCTGTTTTATCCTGGAATGTTTTGCAGCCGTTCCACACTATTGACAAGAGCTACGTCGATAAATCTTCTACATTATAGAAGATAAATAAATTATGTTTTTCAAGTGTTGTAAAGATGTATAAAATAAATTGAGTATTGTTTTTTTTCAATTTGAAGCATTTTAAATTATGTTGAATGGACTTGGGCTCCTTCAAACTTTATAAAGAATCTGGTTGTTCATTTTGAAAGTGGCCTAGCATTCTTGGTAAGAAAACGCATATTATTCACTTAATAATTGCCATTGTTTTAATAGGAACTATAAATTTAACTCCTTTAGGTACACTTAAGCAGTATAACTCAGTATCCTGTACGTATATTTTTAATTGCATTGAAACACAAACCCTTAAATATCTCAGTTTAAGTGCAAACGGACTTGGGCCACTTTCAAAATAAACGGCTCATATCTTCGGTGTACATTTTTCAGATGAACGTTGGCTCCCATGTTGGACCAAAGACGAATTTGTATTCGACGAAGCAGTGGATATCGAAACGGACGATTGCTTCGACGCATTGTCTGCCTGTTCGTTCGGCAGCGGTGCCGGTATTCGGCGAGGCGAAGGCAGGAATTAGGAAGAACCGAGTAATTTATGCGCGAAAGAATGAGAGTCTATCGAGGAGGGGCTAGAGGAGGGCGAGGAGCAATTTGAATTAATCGAAGCCCGCCTTCCCGGCATCGCGCCGCGGGCGTAATTTGTAAAGCAACCACATTACGCCACGCGTTATTTGGCACAACACATTATATAACGATAGAATACGTAATGGGGCTCGGTGGCAAGTCGCGGCGAGGCCGGGAGAAGTCTTGCAGACCGCGGGCCCGGCGTGCATCTATTTTAATACTCCGATATTATTATAATAATCGTTGAGCAAACCGTTCTGCGTCGTCCATTTCCCGCTCGTAATCGAGTGCTACGAGCAATATGTCCGGGCCAGACGCTGAATGGGCCCGTGGACCCGGCCACGCGGTTCCGTGGAGAGAATAAAGGGAACGGGGAGAGTCGGCCCGAGAGGGAGAGAGACGGCGAGAGACCGAGTCCTCCCCGGAGGGGCCAAACCGACACGCTCGCGTGTAATCACTGTAATTTCGGCCGCGGACCGTCCGGTAATTTTTGTTCGAGCGATCGCGAACTTTCATTCGATTTCATTAATACTCGGCGCAACCCTCCTGGCAGTTCTTCGCAGGTCGTGCGACGATAACGCCGCGTGACCGAGAACGACCGATATCCTCGACCGGGAGCCGAGTTACACGCCACTTTTCCCTCGCGGATATCGGGCCGGCTCCTCTGACACCGGCCATCTTCTTTTACGGGCCGATGAATCTAACCACTGTGATTTCAAGCGGACGCGCGGGGCCGAGTTTTCGCGAGGCTTTAAAATCCGAGGCCAGCCTCGGACAAGAGCGCGCCGACGCCGCCTTCGGGCTGGCCTTTGTTTTATGAACCCACGAAACCTGGCACCGTGCCAGTCGGACGCTGTTCCCACTGTTTCGTGTCGCGAATACGCGCTTCGCCGTCGAACTGGACCTTTTCTACAATTATTTACAACGAAATTCGCAGACTTCGCATTCTCGGAGGTACTTCGTCCAGACCGAACAGTCTTTTCCTTTTCTTGTAGTCGCTACAGCAGCGTGCAATAGAGAATCAATTATCTAAATTAATGAAGGAGAGGCAAGTGTTCGGACAGAGTAATTATTTCATCACAGCTCTCTAGATTCAATATTCATTGATTTGTATAGTAAACGGAGTCGCGTGTGGATCGTCTTAATCAGTTAGCTGTTGCAATCTCTTTCAAAAATTACTTAAAATTAATTTTAAAGTCTAAGTCTCTAATATAGTCTTCTTTAAATATAACACTTTTGTAAAGCATATAATTTAATCAAAAATGTCGAAGTATATATATATCCTTCTTAACGACTTAACTGTTTGTGACGAGTATACTCGTCCCGAACTAATTACAACTGGACGACGCGATTAGGGTATGTAGAAACTATCCACATTTCTTCATTCATATAACGGTGGAGCATATTTTAAGGTCAACTGGATTTTTTTAAATCAGGTCATACATTCTCTTATTCGTATTACGACTGTACTCACGAAACACCCTGTATAATGTTATTCATATTAGAAGCAATTAACGCTAGAATTACCGAGCCCTAAACGCGGCTAAAATATAATGTTTTATAACAATGCCAACACTGTATTCATTTAAACTTCGTATGATATATATTATAATATAAACCTCAATGAAGAAATGTCTCTAAAAAAGTTCTCCTAGAAATGATTTTATAATATCAGGAACTATAAATGAACAAAATCGGAAACCAGTCATTTTGACTGATTTGGTAGATCCAGTGTTAAACGTAGTGCCCTCTGGCCTATCCCAATGCAACGGAATCTGGAATGCAGACTGGCTGAAGAAGATGCAATCGAAAATCTTTGAAACGAGCGCCATGTCCTCGTTCCGAAGTGTTCGACGTCGAGCCCGGATATCGGCCGAAATATCCGCGAATTCGATGAAACTCGCGGTCCCGTTTACATAATGCATACACGGCGTTGTTTACAATGCGGCGTGGCACGGCGTACGGCAGCGAAAGAAAGCGGCGTTCAATAGATTGTTAGCGCGCGGTGTGCAATTAAAAATAATCTGCAAGTAAAATCGCTGCGGCGTTTGCTTCCGCGTCGCGGAACAAAAGCCATTCTCCAGGTATGTGTCGATATTAACGAGTCGCATGCGCAGCTCCGGGCGCCGCGCCACGCCGCGCCGCGACGCGCATCGTAATCCGAACTGAGAACGCGGACTCTTCTGCGTTTCGATTTCGCACACAATAACCGCGACGCGATTGCGAGCCGGCCCGCGATACGCGCATCCTGTTCGCCTGTGTCGAACATCATTAGCGGTGGGATCAAGTTCAATACACGAAACCCGGCATCGGTCAATTAATGTTCGTCGCTCGATTGATTTCGGAATCGGGGATCATCGGGAAGAATTACCGAGAAATTCTGATCGCGTGAATTTCCGCTTGAAATTTAGCTGTTCGATTAGCGGAGGAAATACGACCGTGTTCTACAAATTAAACTTGTAGAGTGATTTTACAAATTAAATTCCGCTGTTACACTTTCTATGCGAAGCACGTGTTCATACAATGTTTAAACTGTCACTCGAAAAGTAGCAATGCTATTGGGACTCAAACATTTGAGGATATAATTTGAACGTTCTAGAATATCGTTTACTTCATTAGAACTCGACGGTCTCGCTTTCGAGTACAGTAAATTCTCTCTAATTTTCCTTCAGTTTGTAATAAGAAAAATGAGTAAGCAACTATGAAAATGAGAGCCGCAAGGCTCGAATAATCGTATCTCCTCTTCCCAAATTGTCCATTTTTGTTTACAAGCTGGAGGAAGATTAGGGAGAATTTTCTGTATACCGAATTAATTTCAATAATTACATCGAGTACATTGAAATTATTTCCAATTATATTGAATATAATTTTTGGGATCAATTTCGGAAAAAAAGATGCGAGATATTTGGACCCAGTGACTCTCTGCGAGTCACAGATTTTACAACAATTATATAACGAGGATGTTTAGATGATTTCACGAGGTTTCTTTCAAAAATATAACAAGATATACAAAAATAAATTTTTAGAAAGGAATGAATACCTTTCTCGACCATAGTGTGTTAACGTCGCAACGGGTTTCTACAATGAGTATTGCGAGTGCATAGCAACTGCACTTCCGAAACAAGGGGATAGTTTACAGTTTGTTGTAATTTGCATGATACGTTCGCATGGCATTAAAAAATTGAAACAAGTGTTCGCCGGTTACTGATGCCATCGTAACGTATCGTAAAATCTGAAACCCATTCGTCTATGTTTACCCCGATAATCTACATATTACGAATCTTGAGCGATTGTACGGGGGTGCGCTGGTGTAGCGATCATGCATAGAGCTATCTAAAAAACCAGGTTCCAGTTATGCAAGCTAATAATAGCAATCAAATGCAAATATAGCGGAAATTTGCACGGAGCTGCGGGTCAAGTTAACAGCTCACTTTCCACGACCTATCGAAATCGCGTTCCCAGCGCAGCCTCGGCCAGCGCGCTGCCATTAACATTCCCTTCATTCTTCCTCGGGACTTGACGCCTGCGTTTGCATTATCGATTCCAGCACACAGGTGGTGTTCCGCGATTGGACGTAGTCCAAGCAATCAGAGTGAAAGTCGGATAGAAACATTAGCCCATTGTTTGCGCTTTTCCTAACATTGTCCGCAGAAGTCCCGGGGCTTGTGCGCGGTCGACAATGGCGTTCAAAAACGATCGCCTGGCCGATGGAATTGCTTTATGTAGTCGGCACCGCTGGGAAATCTTATCGAGGCGCGATTACAACAATGACGACCCGGTTGCGTCACTAGGCGTGGAAAATGGAGAAAAGAAAGCGGACGAAAAACGGGGGAAATCATTAAGCCTAATACGGACTGACAGTCGTTTTCCGCGGCTACCAGTCTTCGAGACGGTTGGAACGTCGGCTCGCGTTTGATGCAGGCCCCGACGATCACGAGAACAGTCGTCGGCCGACTGCAGATTTTATGCGTTCGTCGAAACAACAAGTTGGTGTCGTTGGAAACGCACGGATTAACCGGTTACATAGCTGTTGCAGTCTCTTTGAAAAGTTTGCAAGTTAATTATATTGGCATTCAACGATCATAGTTCTCCTTGGTGCCCAGAGGCATCGTCGCTGTCACCTCGGCAGTTATTTTGTGTACGTTGAGTTTTTTTGTTTCAATTGTTTGAGTCAAACAGCGCGTTCTAGTCAGTCTATCGCAGTTACATAAACGGATATAAAGGACATCAAATAGCGCGTGTACATACTGAGAATAAAATATCATTATTCAACCGGATACGCGGTATTGCTTTTTGTTTATTTCCATCAAATTATACCGTGCACGTTTGATTTCCTTTATATTTTCTTTAAATACAACACATTTATCAAATATTATTATTATTATTATTTATTTACGGGCTATTGGATCCTTTTAAATCATACCGAATGAAATGCACATAATTCGGGACAAAATGGACGTTACAGAGAACAAGATTTAATGGTAGATGCAGTGGAATCGGTGAAATGGCTCAGGATATGACAAAGAAATCAAGTTCATAATTTATATATAATTAAAGATGTAATTCTATAAAGAATATCAATAGTAATAGTCCTTTTTAACCAGTTACCTGTTTTTCGCGAGTTCACATATCTCGAAAAAATGGCAACATTTTGTCTTACGACGAGTACACTCGTCGAAAACAGCTGTCTGGTTAAAAAAATACTATGCCCTGCAGCGAATACCGATGATCATATTTTCGCATAGAAATCTGCATTCTAGCTACTAAAGTGACAAAACTCACAGGCATGGCGGGATGCAGTCCTCTCAGCGCGGCTCCGCTCCACTTGTGTCTGTTTTGAAAATGCGCGGCCCTGGCGTAGCTGTTGTTCTGATGAGCAGCGTACCGCTGCTGAATGGACGGCCGAAAATGAGGATAAGGCAACCCGGGGTATCCAGGAGGTTTCCCGTGATGGTAATCACCGACGTCGAAACGCTGATGATCGTGATGCAGAAACCCACCGTCACCGGTCACTCTCATTCGTTCTTGTTCGTGCTCGTGGTCCTCCAATTTCACCATAGACCTATCCGGAGATGGTCTGGCGGCCTGGAACGGCGGCGGCAGCATGGCAGGCGGCGCGTAGAAGTGCGGGAACCCATAAGAATTCGGCAGACCGGTGATCGGCCTGTAGCCGGGATGCTGGACCTGGCACTGTCCAGGGATCTCGGGGTTCCCCTCGATCTTCGCCGGCACGATCGTTTTCCTCTCGTACTGATAGTCCTGGTGACCCGGGTGGCAATCCTCCTGCGGCTCTCGCTTCACCTCGAACACCTTCGACTCCAGAGCCTCGAGCTTCACCCGCACCCTCTCGGTCTCTCCCGAAGCCCTGTCCGCTTCGCCGTCTCTGTACGAGCTTCTCTGCGATTTCCGAGGACCGGAGTCCCCGTCGCAGCCGCCCACGCTGCCCTGCTGCATTCTCGTAGATGCACGCGCGACGACGCGATCGATCCGCGTCAAACTGCCTCGGGATCGAACGAGATTGAAGTAGCGAGCGGCCGCGGTTGAACGAGCATAGTTCGATGTCTGTGGCGGATTCGATTCCAGCTGCTCTCGCTATCGTCCTCCAACGATAGGATTGTGGATCGATTCGGCAACAGCGCGGTCGAGGATGCTCAGAGACGTTCGCAGTCTTCCGTGTTCATTTCGTTAAACGTCGATGGACGCATCGAGCAGATTCGACGGAAGATGCGTTGCTCGAGGTTGACAATTCGACACTCGCTGCTCGGCTCACTGTCGTCGCTCAACGAGGGGATAGCTAATCACTTTCAATCAACACGATTGTGCATGCTTATTCGAAAGATGTTTCTCTCAAGCATCGTTTAATCCTCGAATGGGGAATGTTTATGTCGACTGCACTGCGTTGGAGATGCTCGGTGACATTCGAAGCGTTGTTCGTCGATCGTGTCGAACATTGACGAGTGCATCGATTGTGCGCGATCGAAAGTACTTTATTCGAAGCGAACGATAGCGTAAATCGATAGATGATACTCCTCGACGATTCGTTACTTTCAGACAGGTTCGTGAGCGGAGCGTAATCCTGACATAGAGGAACTCTCTTGCAGACGCACGAAATAATTAACAGTTTCGTTGATCATATTTTCGGGGGTACGATACAGCACGTCAGCGTTTCTGTTGCTCGCCGGAAACGGAACGAAAGGTTCCGATGCTCTGCGTGAAACTAGATACGCACACCATTGCCGGGCACATTACGCGCAGACACGTTACGTCTTTGAATTCTTCCTAAAGCAGTAACTACCGACTCGAATCGCTCGAAATTGTCATAAAGCTAAACGTCGGCATTCGAGCATCTCGCACGACTACGTCCGCACTCCTCGTTGATCGTCCTTGACGTTGGCCGTCGCCGTCGTTGCCGGCTGTCAATCGGCCGTCATTCGGACCGCTCCTAGTTTTTAGAAAAAACGAGGGCAAGAGGAGCGCGATTTTGCATTATCTCGTCAGAGCGCTGTCGATGGTCTCGAGTGGCATAAATCACTGGCGAATCGGCATTCTTATTTTCCGGTGTGCCGGCGTGGTCCCGGGCATAAAGGACCGCGTCACGATGGTCGTCGTCGGTCTCAGAAAAAGGTGGCCAGTCTCGAGGCGGCTCGTCGCAGCGTACGGAAGCGCGCGGCGGCACGCAGTCGGTTGGTAGAAGCGGCGCTCGTATAGCCTGGCTGGTTTTCGGTCGAGTGGAGGGGGTTGAGGGAGGGGAGGCGACAAGGGCGGCGTGACAGTTTCCGTGTCACGTGTCCCCGACCTTAGGCCCCGCCTACAACTGCGATTTTCCTTCGGCGAACGGATCGTTAAGCTGGCCCTGTCGGGGGCCCTGGACCTTTCCTCCTCGTCATTCGTCGTCTGTCGCCCGCACGATTCGCGAGGCTCTCTTCCGCAGAGAGAGAGAGAGAGAGAGAGAGAGAGAGAGAGAGAGGAGAAAGAGAGAAATAAACGGAGACAGCGAGAGAAAGACTGAGAGAAAGAAAGAGAGAGGGAGAGAGGGGTGTCTCACTGCGGGACAGAGGGGTGGGGGTTGACACTCGCGACCGAACGGCACACGGGNAGAGAGAGAGAGAGAGAGAGAGAGAGAGAGAGAGAGAGAGAGAGAGGAGAAAGAGAGAAATAAACGGAGACAGCGAGAGAAAGACTGAGAGAAAGAAAGAGAGAGGGAGAGAGGGGTGTCTCACTGCGGGACAGAGGGGTGGGGGTTGACACTCGCGACCGAACGGCACACGGGGGTTGTCAACGCGCGCTGCCGGGCTCCTAGGCTGCTCTCTCTCCCTCCTACCAGCTCCTGGGCTCCTCCTCCTCTCTGAGCAGCGACGAGACGATACGGGACGATGCGAGACGAGACGATGCGATGCGATGCGAGACGAGACGAGACGAGACGCCGAGCGTGAACGAACCGAGAGGCACCGTGAACCGCGTTTTCACCGTGTTCCGCGAACTTTTTACGGTACACTGGCTCCGGAACGGCGCGCTGCCGACGATCCTGGCTCGCGACGGGGGCTTCGACGCGCCGCAAAGGGGGGGATGGATCGAAACCGAGACCCGGCCCCGATTGCGACCCTCTCGACACGACGACAAAGGTCCTCGCGCGCGCGGCTACCTGGCCTCACCGGAAATCACGAATATTCGGGCCGGAACGATACGCGATGCGGCCATACGTGCAAGGATCCCGGATTGCGCCTCGGTCGGGCTGATCGCGTACGGCGTACGAGTTTCGTTCCACGCAGCGTGAAACTCTTGGCGGAGGTGCGCGGCCACCACCAGCCACCGGGAACGCACGAGCCTGCCCGAATACGCCCGAGCGAGACGATATATCTCTACTCTCGGGATACCTCGACGGAGTTGGCCGGCTGCCTCCCGCCTTCCGCGGACTTGCACGCTCCTCGCCAGAACCACCGATGGGCTCACCTTTTGTCGGCAGGATCAAGGTGGATTCTATTCAACCGAGAGGCCCGTCCGCGACCGAGAGATCCTCGACGAACGGCAAACAGCGCACGGCTCCTTTCGTCTACCGACGTTTTTCGAACACGAAAACGCGCGGAAATGTTTACGTAGCAGTTTCACAGTTTCACTCGTTGAAATTGTTGTCACCGTTGATCGTCGCGGACGGGGTGCCAAATGCCGAATGCGTAGAATATTTTGAGGGTGGTTTTATGAGTCTATATGGAAGACCGCGATCGAGATTAACGATCTTGTTCGAACGACTACGTTTTCTAAATGCGAACGATCGAAGAACAGTTTATGCGAACGCGTAAACCGAGATTTAACTTTTTCGCCACTTTGAACGTCAATGAAATTGTGAAACACGCTTAGGGAACGATTTTATCGAACACTGCAAAACTGCGGATAAAAATGTCGAAATGAAGGTGGATAGTTTCACTTTCGGCAGTCGTGCGGTCTCGATTTAACCCTCGACCCGCGGTCACCGAGTCATTTTGATCCAGTTCGGATAAATTACCACTTAATTAGTCAACTTTCGGCAGTAGCTGCTGCGCTAGGAACAACGTGAAACGTAATAAGCTTACATAAATACTGTTGCGAATTACACCATTTCTCTCGCGTCGCGGCATTTTATTTACAATAAAAAATATTAACTATAACACAATTCGATACAATAACAATTCAGATCTTTCGGAAGTGGGATGTTGATCGTTCGACGGTCCGATCTCGACTCTACGATTGTCCGTTGGTAACACATCTCTCCGTGGCAACCCCTATCTTCTATTATTCTTTAAGGAGTTGTTCACAACAGGGCAGTNTGCGTAGAATATTTTGAGGGTGGTTTTATGAGTCTATATGGAAGACCGCGATCGAGATTAACGATCTTGTTCGAACGACTACGTTTTCTAAATGCGAACGATCGAAGAACAGTTTATGCGAACGCGTAAACCGAGATTTAACTTTTTCGCCACTTTGAACGTCAATGAAATTGTGAAACACGCTTAGGGAACGATTTTATCGAACACTGCAAAACTGCGGATAAAAATGTCGAAATGAAGGTGGATAGTTTCACTTTCGGCAGTCGTGCGGTCTCGATTTAACCCTCGACCCGCGGTCACCGAGTCATTTTGATCCAGTTCGGATAAATTACCACTTAATTAGTCAACTTTCGGCAGTAGCTGCTGCGCTAGGAACAACGTGAAACGTAATAAGCTTACATAAATACTGTTGCGAATTACACCATTTCTCTCGCGTCGCGGCATTTTATTTACAATAAAAAATATTAACTATAACACAATTCGATACAATAACAATTCAGATCTTTCGGAAGTGGGATGTTGATCGTTCGACGGTCCGATCTCGACTCTACGATTGTCCGTTGGTAACACATCTCTCCGTGGCAACCCCTATCTTCTATTATTCTTTAAGGAGTTGTTCACAACAGGGCAGTTTCACATTACAGCGACTTGATTTGGACAAGTCGCCGTAACAATACGTTTGGAAAAATTAATGAATACAGCTAAGTATCGTCAATCGTATAATTGTGAACGTTAGTGGACCTCAGCCGAGTACGAAGACAAAATTCGACCACACGCGTCCGACAAGCTGCAAAATACATAATTGAGTTAGAAAAGCGAAATTATAGAGGAGCATTGACGGGAACACGGTCGGGACGATAGAAAGGTTGGATGTCACGCCCGATACAGTAGGTTCGTGCCAAGATCTGTAATTTTAACGCGGCCATTTCGTCTCGCACGGTGCCGATATTATTTTTGTATTAGAAGCAGGAAGAGTATGGGTGTAAACTGGCACTCGGCGAAGTTCTTCCAGTGATTTATAGCGACGCACCGTGTCAGAGCTCAGCGCATCGCGGTCACCATTGTCCCGGTTGCGCAACGCAGCTGTTGGTATAGCGCACAGCCCGCCTCCGTCGACGTCGCCCATGCGATCTAGTTAACGAAATTGGAATTGAAAGCATGACGGTTCGACGTTACGATAATTTATCACTGGAATAAACGTGCGCCGCGGTTCGAGTATCAATTTACGGGACGCAACGGATATGTAATCTGATATATCGTGTAACGGCGCGTACGGAACCGCGAATGGAGGTTCTCATCGGCCGCGGGGCAACGCGGAATCGGAAATGATGGATTCCCTGTTTCACGGGGTCGCGGATGCCTTCCTTATCGAATCTTCTTCCGTCTACCTCGCTGCGTATTCCGTAGCGCATAGCGGATCGGCCGAGAGGGAACACCGTCTTCTGATCGGCACGCAGATTTATTCAGCGTCCCGCAATTAACGAGAATCTTTCGTGAATGTCATCTCTCTGCCAGAAAATTGCAGCGTGAAAGTTAAGGACAGAATTAAGGACAGAAGTCTTTGATCACAAATACATTGTTTTCCAAGTCAAATCATCCTTTAAGAATGCATCGGCTCACTGTTTCGCGGCTTTTCTCAAAGCTGAACTAATTCGAACTTCGTCGCGAATAATTTCCTATTAGAGAAAGAGAACTCCGATTTATTGTGTTCCAATACGTATCCTGGCAAATCTGATGACCAAACATCGACGTCAAAGCGGTATGAATTTTGTTTCGATGCACGAGAAACGAGTAACGTCTCCATTCAGAAGATTCCGTTGAACATCTTATCTTATTTAGATATCATCTATTCACGAGTTGAAGAATCCGCAAACGCGAAAGGAAGAAATTTCTAACTCGATTACGAGTAACCACCGTGTGTCACTTGTTGGCGAACAAACGACGCGGTCGCGACGGCCGCACTCGCGTGGACTCGCGTGCACATCAAAGAGAACGCCGCCTGTTTCGCGTTTCTTGCGCGAGCGCGGATCGCTCGTTCTTTTTCTCTCGCCGTGCTTTGCCGTATATTAATGATCTTTTAATGGAATGGGAGTGCTCGCTAACTGCTCGCGCTCGATATTTCTTTCCGTTAAGTTGGCAGCGGCCTGCAATTACTCACGGACGCGCACTCGTCAAGCCGCCGAGCCGATTCCGCTAGCTCGGGCTTATTAGAACCCTTTTCATTTCTCGGATCGATCGTTGGCGTCGCCCCGACGATAGCCCACTCGTGGACGCATTCGACTGCCGTATCACCTCCGTACAATAGCATAAGATTTTAAAAATTCACAGGACAATCGTCGCCATGGCGTCCCATTCGCCTACAGCCCTTCGGAACTGCTTCTCCCAGCTTGCCAGCCACAGCGCACATCCAGCTTCCTGCCCCTTCTTTCTGCCTGCTGTCGACCTACGATGTTATATTATGGCGTTTTTCAGCTCCCTACAAAGAGGGGCACACGTTCGGTAGGTTTTCGTTGCAAGTAACCTACGTA